AAATGGGGTCATGAGGAGTCAGACACGACTGAAATAATTGAACAAAACAACTCAAGGTGCTGAAATGTATAACAGATTCAAATTCCTACGGAAAAATGCCCAGGAGAGGATCCTATCCAGTGGAGGTTCAGCCCTGAGGTGCTGACTTGTTTCTGTTGTGGTCTAGAGAGAAAAATTAGGAGGAAGTTGCTAAGATACATATTTCAGCTGCAGGGAAAAAAAAAAAAAGAAAAAAGAAAGAAAGAAAAAACCTTCCTTAACAGAGCTGTCCAAAAGTGAAATGGGCTACTTTAAGAGTGAGTTAGATTCTCATCACTGAAGGTCTTTAAGGGGAAGGTTAGACGTCAGTGAGGTGGTACAGTGGATACAGTGCTGGGTCTGGAGTCAGGAAGACCTGAGTTCAAATCTGGCCTTAGCTCTTACTGGCTGCATGACCCTGGGCAAGTTACTTAATGCTGTTTGCCCCGCTTTCCTCATCTGTAAAATGAGCTGAAGAAGTAAATGGCAGATCATTCCAGTATCTCTGCCAGGAAAACCTCAAATGAGGACATGAAGAGTCAGACGCTACTAAAACAACTGACCACCACCAACAAAAGAAGTTAATGATGTTGTAGAGGGTATCATCTTCAACCTCATTATTTTGGAGGCTGTCTTTCTATCTCTCCTAGGCTAGAAGTGCAGCAGCCACTTGGGACAGCTCCCACTTGCTGACTGGCATGGGACCTCTGACCCGCTCAATTTCTGACCTGGGTGGATGCATGCCTCCTTAGATGGCTTCATGGGGGCTCACTATATTGTGGCTGAACTTCATAGAGAGGCCTCATTAGCTTTAGCCCTACTGCAGCTCAGAACTCCCAATGACCCATCAGCCTCAGCCTCCCCAGTAGTAGAGATTATGGATGTGTGTGCCACCATGTCCAGCCACTCCATGGACTACAGCACGCCAGGCCCTTCTGTCCTCCACTAGGAGGCCACCTCCAGTTGTCCCGATGTGTATCTGGCCGCTGGACCTAGATGGCTCTGGAGGAGAAAGTGAGTCACGTGACCTTGCATAGCCCTCCCTCACATGCATGTCATGGCATCACCTCCATGATGTTATGGTCCTCTTGGAGAATGAAGGACAAATAACAACAACAACAGGTTTTCCTGCTCAGGTATGGGCTGGACCAGGTAACTGCCAAGGACGCTTTTATCTTTGTTGTTTTGTTTTTCTTCCCCCATCTTTTTTCCGTTTCTTTTCTCTAAGCCTTCTCTCCTCACTCCTGTCCCCTTCTGTAGTTTCTCTTATTTCATTCCCTATCATATGTAAGATCCACAGGAAGGCTATTTTCTCCAAAAACAGACACAATCCTGGATGTGATTAGTTTGATGTCAAACCACCCTCTACGCTGTTACCAAGCCAGTGGGCTTTAAGTGCCAGAGTCCTTGTCCCTACCAAACCCTAGAGGTTCCCTTCCCTGTCTCCAGCTTCTCAGGTTTTAGGCTGGTGCCTCCATCTGGGCCTGGCTACTATGGTGCTAGGTGTCATAGAAACAGAGGCAGAAAAGGAAAGAGATAGTTGAAAACAATAAGAGTCTTGGAGATTGACACAAGATGAGTGGGGGAAGGTAAAAATTAAAGTGACAGGAGGGGAGAAGGGACAAGGGAAGGATGACAGGAGCAGAAGCAAACTGTCCAAACCTGAAAAATTGAACTGGGTACCAAGGAAATGAGTTTGACTAGCTTTCACTACTATTCAGTGGGGCCCCCAAAACCAATATCCAGAGGAAAGCTCATCTCATGAAACTATTCCAAACAAGCTAAGGAATGAAAGAGAAGACAATTAGCTGAACCAAGGGAGGAGGTGGATGGATAGACTGGTATTTGACTTCATCTGTTAATAGAGAGACAGGCTTCTACAATTTGCCTTATGCCACCTGAATGATCTTACCACCCGGGTGACTTTGGGCAAATCACTTCATCTCCATGGCTTCAGTTTGCTCATGTGCAAAAAGGAGCTGGCCTTGATGACCCCTGAGGACTCCTCCAGGCTGAGATCTAGCCGGCCTCAGACCATGCTCCATATCTCACCTACCCACCCACCAAAAAGCCAAGGTCTACGGCACAGGCATCTTGCCACATCTACCCTCTTGCCGATGTGAGTTAGATTTATTTTCAATTTCCTGTCCTTGCTTTGGAAACAATAACCAAACCAGTACTGCTGCTACTGTTGGAAAGTATGTGAACACCATCCGCCTGCCCTATGGCTTTACTCAGAATGCCCGTGACTGCCTAAACCAAAGCTCCTTTCCCCGCCATCACTCTCTTACGTAGGTTGGATCTCCTATTTAGAATAGATGCTCCTTGAGGCAGGAACTGTCCCACATTTGTATCCCCAAAGCCTTGCAGAGGGCTTGGAACCAAGCAGGTACTTAATAACTCTTTGTTGTTTAATTGATGCTCCTATAAAATACTCATTAGCAGAAGGAAGAAAATTCTTCTACTGCATTGCCAGAGAGAGGTAGATCAGTTATTTTGTTACATCGGTCAATAATCAGTAAACAAACATTTATTAAGTATCTGCTATGTGTTAGGCACTAGGCTAAGTGCTAGAGATATAAATACAAAAAAAGAAAAACAGTCCCTGCACTCAAGGAAGGAAGACAACACACAAAAGGAAAAAGATGGTGTGGGGCAGGAAGAAGGTATCCATCCCATATGGAGGCTTAGTGGGGATGTCAGAGAAGGCCCAAAGCAGTGCAGACAGATGGGAGATGACACATCAGTCGCCTTGGGCTTGGATCCTCCAATATCATCTTTACTGACACACAGGAAACTGTGGATCACAGACCTAGACCTCAAAGCCATCAAAGAAAACACCTAGTCCAACACCCTTATTTTAGACAATTGAGACCCAGAGAGGTTAAGTCAGCCATTTGCCCAAGTATAAGAGCTGGGATTTGAACACAAGGCCTCTTTCCACTCCATGTATGCCATGAACTTACGACTTTACATTTGGACATTCAATCTACAAGAAGTTAATTCACCTCTAGAAACTGTGTTTTGTAATTTACTGGCCTGGCCACTAAGTAGTGGCACATGTGTTGGTTTCATGGTCCAATCTACAAGGTCAATTCGGTTTGAGTCATTCATACCCTACTAGGAGTTGGAAGTCCTTTATTCCATTTGCAAGCTATTATCTTTCTATTAAAGATGAGGATTTAGCTGTCAGGTCTATGAGAGGAATCTATAGTCACTAGTACACTGCCTAGTTTCTCCCCTGTGCTACCTGGTGGAAGAACAAAACCCTGAGCTCTCAGTAAGAAATTAAAAAGGTTTGTGTGTACAGAAATTCAGGTCTCTGTCCATTTGCAAAGATTTAGAGTCACCATAGATGGAAAACAAAATGGGCCTAGATTTAAACAGGAAGAATGGAACAGGTTGGGTTGTACTTGGGAGAATATACAATGGCTTTCAATTGCCCCAAAATTCAGCCTAAAATGAAAACCCATCTTTTCGTAATACCAATTTTGTGCCAGTTATGTGAATCACGAACTATCACATTCTCCAACGAATTTAAATTGTTCCTGACCCAAAGGACAATGGAGAGACATATGGTGAGTATGGGCGTGGAGTGGGGTACGGTCTATTCTTTGCCAATGGGAAACTCTATGCCAATAGTGTTATGTATCAGCCAAGCCAGGCTTCCTTAACCTTTTTTGTTTGTTTGTTTGTTTGTTTTGTGGCCCCTCGGACAATCTGGGGGACATTTATAGACATTTCAGAATAAGGTTTTAAATACATAAAACAATATACACAGGATTATGAAGGAAACAAATTATACTGAAATATTATTATAAGAATGTTAAAAAAAAAACAGATTAAGAACCTAGATGCATGACTGGAAAATAAGGTGAGTCATGAAGAAAGAGGTATAACAAATAGACTAACACGCTGTTCCAGGATCCACATCATCAAAGGGAAGGCCCCAGAACATTGCATTAATAACTAGCAGAGGATTTATGGGAGAATATGGACCAGAGTCATGTGAGATGAGAATTCATGAAAGGAACAGACTGCATTCCTCACCACTGGAGCAAGGCCTCACACTGATGAGTTTGTGGAAGTAACCAAGCATTGAAGAATAAAACATGATCACTGAATCCCAAATCTGGAAAGGGCCTCAGGGATGATTGATTCCAATCCATCTCTGAGAGGGAACACTCTCAAAAACCAACCTGCCAGAAGAGATCATCCACCTTTCCATGATAGGGAACTCACTATATTAGTTATGAAAAGTACTTGGCAAACTTTAAAGTAATTTATAAATGTGGGTTATTATTATTAATAATTACCTCTGGAGGCAGTCCACTCTACTTCTGAATGGCCCTAATATTCATTAGTAAGAATTTCCCTAATAATAATAATAATTCCCTTTCTTTCTCTCCCTCCTCCATATCTCTCTCTCTCTCTGCCTCTCTCCCTCCCTCCCCCTCCCTCCTCTTTTTTTCTTTTCTCCCCCTCGCTCCCTCCTCCTCCTCTCTTTCCCCTCTCCTCTCTCTCTCCTTCATTCCACTCCTCCCCCTCCATTTCTCCCTCTTACTTTCATATACTGCTCTCAGTTCTGCCCTCTAGAGCCAAAAAGTTCCAAGCCTCATCCTTCTTCCACAATGAAATACATTCAATTCTACCTCTTACATATCCACAGCCTTGCAGATGCTTGAAGGCAGTCACCACCTTCAGCTCCCATTCCCACCCGAAGTCTTCTCATCTCTAAGATAAACATTATCCGTTTCTTCAACTCCATCTTGTATGGCATGGTTTTGAATACCCCTCATGATCTTGGTTGGGAACCTCTGGATGCACTCCAGCTTTTCAATGTCCTTTCTAAAATGTTGGGTCCAGAACAAGACCCCAAACTGGCGATGTGGTGTGATCAGGCCAGAGCACATTCTGGTATGACATTTAATTCTACCTACCCACTGAGCCCAGGGCTGATGACAAAAAGCAAAACCATGACATCCCTAAGCAAACCTTTTTAATGGGAAAAACTAACACCCACCACCACCACCCCAGTATTGTTTTCTAAGACTGCCAAGAGCTCTGAAATCCGCTTTTGGAGGGTTACATTATACCCTCTGCTCCTCCCAAGGGCCCCTCTTATTGGGGGTGTTGGCAGTACTTTTGGATTTCATCAGCGATTCCTAGGCAGTGCAGACTGTGTTTCTTCTCCTTGGCCAGGTCCTCTGTGGACATCTGACCCAAAAGTTTCTTGACAAATATATTTTGGTCTCTCAGGAAAATGTTCTGCTGTACTTGAGTTGGAGGAGGGATACTTTCCAGGCGGCCAGATTCAAAAAGGAAATTAATACGCCGCTCACGTTTCAGGCCAGGGCCTCTTTCTTCAATCCAAGTCAGTGGCCTGCTCAAAGAGAAAGAAATCATGGAATTAGATCTTCTGTAAGAAGCACCACAGTCTGTTGGAATTCAACAGGCTCATTTCCTTCCTGCTTGACTGCATTTCTCTAAAACTTCAGGTTGATTTGGTCCTATTGCCACCTGTCAACCCCCACAAGGACACGATTACCATTCCTGACAGACACCCCTGTCAAATGGTACATTATTAGGAAGTTTAATGCTTAGGGAAAAGAGCTCATTCTTTCATTCGTTCTTTATCAAATGCTCACTCTGCACAGTCCTAGCAAAAGACTGGTGTCATGATGAAGACTGAAGAACACACATGTCCATGTGTTCCTGCAATGACCAAACCTCACATTTTTCACTGAATAAGGAACTCTTTCTCCTTCCTCAGACTTTTCCTTCACGCTCATCGCTTCAGTTTTATTTAGTCATTTTTCAGTTGTGTCTAACTTCATGACCACATCTAGAGTTTTCTTGGCAAAGATAATGGAATGGTTTGCCATATCCTTCTCTAGCTCGTTTTACAGATGAGAAAATTGAGGCAAACAGGGTTAAGTGATTTGCCCAGGGTCACATAGTAAGTACATATGGCCAGATTCGAACTCTTGACTCCAGGCCTGGTGCTTTATCCACCACGCCAACAGCTGCCCCATTTGAGCTACAAGACACTAAAACAGCTAGGATAGAATCCACTTAGGAGAACAAACACTCAAAACTCTGACTCAGGGGAATGTCTTTCTTTGATACCACTTGACAACCCAACCCAAAAAAATATTTATTAATTAGTTACTATGTGCCAGATAGCCAAGGCATAGTGGATAGAGACTTTGGAGCCATGGAGACTTGGGTTCAAGTCTTGCCTCTGACACAAAATGGCTGTATGACCCTGGGCAAGTCACCTAACCTCCTGGCATTCTAGACAACTCCTGCGCTCTGAGGTGCATAGAAGGTGCTGATCCACATGAAAAGGGAGTCCCTTTAGTTAGGAGTTCCCTGGGACAATGAAATCACAGCTCTAGTCTCTATTCTCTATCTCTATGTATAAGACACTGTACTATAAGCTGGGGATACAAGGACAACAATAAAAAATAGTCCTTCCCTCTGGGGGCTTATATCCTACTGCTGAAGACAGGGAGCAAGCAGTTAAATATAAACTAATATTTATGTTGCTGCTTACAAGGCCTCTAGGGCAGAAGTGAGGAAGGTTTTAGTCTACCAAAGTTCACTGACTTGCTGGGGAAAAATATAAAAATTATATAAGTGAGGAAAAACAATTAACTTTTCCATGAGAAAAATAAATATGAAGTGTTCCATTTACCTACTTTGTAAATGCAAAACATGGAAGAAAAATCTCTAATGAAACAAATAATTTTAAATATACTTTAGTTATATAAATAACAACAATAATAATAGCTAGCATTTATATGACCCCTTAATGTCTGCAAAGCACTTTGCATGTGTTATTTTATTTGATGATGGTGATATATGTGAGAGAAGCCAGAGGAGTGAAGGAGAGAGAAGTCAGTGAAGAAGAGGTAACCAAGAAAAGGCAACTTGCTTATTGGGTTGTGGGTATAACACTATAGGGTTGACCAGGAAAGACCAAGTTGCCTAAGGCAAAGAGGAGTGTGAGGTACCATGAGTATAAGACAGAGGTTGTCTGCCCTTTCTCATATTATATGGTGACTATAAATAAGTCCGGTGACTATAGCAAAAGGATGTCAAAGCCCAGTAGGTAAATCTAATCCTTCACTGAATAATAGACCAAGATACTAGAAGTACCCACAGAGAGAGAACGAAAGAAAAAAGAGAGTGAGGAACACTTTACACATGAAATTGTACACAAACATAGAAAAATAGACAAACAGACAAAAGGAGAGAAAAAAATGAAATAGAATTATCATGTCCATCGCATGGTCTTTGCTATGTAAGACTTAAAATTCTGTTGTGTTGGCAAGACGCATGTACATGAATGAAACTTCCAATGAAGTCAATATTTTGTATTACTACTTCACAAATGCTTACCCTCATTAAATGAACAAACAGCCATTTTTCAATGTTTTAAATGCTTTTAAGTAATCAAAGGCCATCTTGTAAACTGAGATGAATTATTTTTAAAAGTATATAGAGCCCCAGCCTGGAGTCAGGAGGACCTGAGTTCAAATCCGGTCTCAGACACTTGACACTAGCTGTGTGACCCTGGGCAAGTCACTTAACCCCAACTGCCTTGCCAAAAAAAAAAGTATGTATTATACAATTTTGATTACTATTGTTTTCTCTGTTAGCAAATAGATCTTTCTCAGTGATATAAATTTTAATTGAACTTTTAAAAAAATCATGAAATATTATGGCTTTTTGTTTATAGAGTACTATAAATATGTTTATAGATTTTGAATTGATAAATATATATCATATATACAAATATGTATATATGTTCTTTCATTAAACATTTATTTAGAAAAAAAATCCTGTTGTGTTTTCACAACCAGACACAATTAGTTACGACAGACAGAAATAACCCAAGTAATGAATCTGCTTCATGAGCCAATGATTCCTTAACTTTTTTTGTGCTTACCCCCAGCTCTTTTGTGTGGACCATTTGTACCAAACAACCCAATAAAAGTACCTGGGTTCCCACACAGTAAACATCTGCCAGTTTGCCTTCCTTCAGAAAAACCCTCATATGCAAACATTCTTATTCACAGTTTCCCCAACTCAAAAAAGATTCACTTCACTAACAGGGCCACTGGAGCTCACACAGGGAAATCAAACCTTCCTCTCAACCACCAGCTCCTTGCTTCCCAACAGGCCAGTCTGCAGGAAACCCCTCAGCAGAGGAGTGAAGTAACCTCTATGTTTGTCAGCTATAGCTTTCTTCTTGGACATGACCTGGTGCCACAGGGGGTTTCAAAGATGTCTGCTGTTCCTCAGACCCCTCACTGAGGGCTATTTTAGGGCTCTCCCCAGGCACTGCTCCACTTTAGTCTGCCATGACAAACTCATCGATAACTAGAGGAAAGAAATGCTGTCCCCTGAGACAGCTCACAGAGGAGTCTTAATACAAAGTGACTAGTCCTAAGAAGAAGCATACTTTCAGCTGTTGCAATCACATTCGGCTGGAGCCTGAGAGAAGCCTCAGGTTCTAGCCATAAAATTCACTCTCTCATTCCCCTATCTCGAGCAGGAAAGGCCAATCCTTCATACAGATGGTAAGAACAACCTCTCTTCCCATCACGTTGCGGTCCTGGACACACAAAACAGGTCAACTCAACAGTACAGAACAAGTCTGAAATGCCAGCAGCGAGGCAAGCCTCCTGTCTGGACCAATATTCAATTATTTCTTTGTTGCTCTTCCATACATCAATATTCACATCTGGTACTGGCAAGAGGGCAAGGAATACAGGAGTCGGACAAGTTTTCAATCGGTCCTAAAAGCATTCTCTCATTAGTAAATTTCTATCTTGGCTGTTCATTCTCTTATTTTTTCTTTTCTCTCTCAGATTCAAAATGAGGAGAGGACCTGATGATTAGAACTGTCTAGATTACTTTCTTATATTTGCACATATCTACTCTGCAAATTTAATTCTGTTGCTTATAAGTTTGAGTGACATTCACATAAATGTATCCAGATCTTTGTAACTAGGTGGGTTTCACATAACTTTATTTTTTATCAAAGTCTAGGGATTTTTTCTGATACTTGTTAAAAATAAATTTGAGGCATTCCCTAGGTCTGGAGGAAAAGCTAACAGAATAGTGACCTACCTCTTTCAATGGCTTTAAAAATCTCCTGACTTGACACTTACTAGTTGTGTGATCCTGGGCAAGTCATTTAACCTCAATTGCCTAAAAATTAAAAAAAATATTTCCTGATACTCTGACTCAGATGGGAAAAAGAAAAGTGAAGGGGAAATACAACTGGCAAATGTGAAAGAGGGGCTTCAATGACCACCTAAAGACAAGCTAATCAATCATTTCTCTAGACCAGGGGTGGGGAACCTTCAGCCTCGAGGCCACACATGTGGCCTTCTAGGTCCTTGGGTGTAGTCTTTTGACTGAGTGCAAGTTTTACAGAACAAATCCTTTTGTTAAGGGGATTTGTTCTGTGAAGTTTAGATTCAGTCATATGGCTTCGAGTTCCCCACCCTTGCTCTAGACGTACCTATAAGAAGCAGAAGAGTATGGAGGGCTGGACTTAGCATCAGGAAGACCTGAGTTTAAATCCTGTCTCAGATACTTACTAGAGGGCAGCTAGGTGGTACAGTGAATACAGCACTGGGCCTGAAGTCAGGAAGACTCATCTTCCTACATCTGGCTTCAGACACTGGCAAATCACTCAACCTCTGTCTCAGTTTCCTCACCTATAAAACGGACCTCACGAGCTGTTGTGAAAGTCAAATGAAATAACACATGTAAAGTGCTTCGCAAACCACAAAGCACTTATAAATGCTAGCTAATGTCGTCATCATCATTGTCATCATCGTTGTTGTTGTAAATAGAACACCTGGAGTCTTGAGAGACCTGGGTTCAACCCAGCTATGTAATTCTGGGAAAGCCACTTAACCTCTCTGAGCTCCATTTTCCTAATCAGTAAAATGGGAATAATCATACTTGCATTACCTACCTCACAAGGGTGCTTTATTAACATAAGGGCATTATTAACATGGAGTTATTATTATTATTATTATTGTCATCATCATCACTATTATTACATAGGTCCATTTCTTTCCCTTAAGTTACAATTGTTTCTGATTTCACCAACAGCAAGAAGGGGATTGGAGGGTGGGCACAGTAAGCAACCAAGAAACTTGGGTGGTCTTTGAAGCCAAGCTTTTCTTAATGCACGGTCATATTCTGTAGGCTATAGAGCTCAGAGATTGACTAGTCAAAGAATCATCTCTAGTCCAACCTAGACATAAAAAACGAATCCTCCCAACAACATATGCAGCCATTGCTCGAAGATCTTTAGTAATGGAGAACCCCTATCAGTTATTCAACAAGCATTTTAAAGCACCTACTATGTGACAGGCTAGGAAGTAAGGTGGTGCAGTGGCTACAGTCCCACACCTAGAGTCAGGAAGGCCTGAGTTCAACTCTGGTCTCAGACACTTGCTAGCCGTGTGACCTTCGGCAAGTCACTTAACTCTGCCTCAGTTTCCTCATTTGTCAAACAAACTGGAGAAGTAAATGGTAAACCACTCCAGTACCTTTGCCAAGAAAACCCTAAGTAGGAGTCACAAAGAATCAGACATAACTGAAAAAGGATAAACAACAACAACAACATTTGTTAGGCACTTTCTTTATCCTGTATTTATCCCGTTTGTATTTTTTTCCCTTTACATACTGTGAGCCTAGAACACAGTAAGCAACATGATTACTATCTATAGAATCACACACAGAATTGTCAAGACAAAAATGGCCTTGATCAGCTAATTCAGAAAGATGGAGAATTGATGGCATCATCCCCTGAAGTGCTTAAAAATGCAGCTGGGGGACAAAATGAAGGTAGCTAATGGCAACTCATTACACAAGAGAGCAGTAAGACCAGGTAAATCATCAGCCCAAGGCAGGCTACAGAAGAAAACTACACAAATCAATTCCAAAAAGGTTCAGATCAATTCAGGAATGTTGGGCTAGGGCCTGGCCTCTTTATATTCTTGACAGAGCTTTCTTTGCTCAAGGTTAGTGTTTAAAGTCTGTCAAATTGATTTGGATGCTAATAGCCAAGTAGTTACTATAAAACAGAATAAAAAAAGTTACTTAGAGGTTTTACCCAATTAGCAACCATGCTGTTTAATGAACTTGGCCATATGCCAACTGTAATATGCCAACAGAAAAATGTGTGTGTGTGTATGTGTGTGTGTGTGTGTGTTGTGTGGTGTGTAAGAACACGAGATTTGGAGTCAGAACACCTGAATTCTGTGTGACCTTGGATAAGTGCCTCACCAATCCTCTGTTTCATGTGAAAAATTAAGAGCAGGACTATATTATCTGTAAGGTCACTTTCACCTTTCGAAACTTTAATGGGGTAGAACAAGCAAGCTTAAACAGAACTTCATACTTGGGGCTTCTCCCACAGCTTCATTAAAGTACTCACATGCAGAGTTCTCACTTTAGTCAACAGATTCAAACATTTTTAAAAGAAAATGCCCTCTTAACTTCAAGGAACATTGGTCCTTCAAGGAATTAAAAATCAGACTATTCTGAGTAGAGTGAGGCATAGCCCCTTCCTCCCAAAAAGTATTCAACTAGATTGTAGGGAGGCCCAAGTTTTATTTCTAGCCCTTATACTAATTACTTGTGTGACTTCAGTCAGGCCATCAAACATCTTTGCACCTCAGTGTCCTCATCTGTTAAATGGAACAACGGTATATACACAATGACTATGTAAATAGAAAGAACAAACAAGGCAAAACCGACTGTAGTTCAACGATGATCCCCAAGCCTGCATCCAAAAAAAAGGAGAAAATGGAACTCCCTTCTTTGAGGAGGTGGGGGGCATTTCGTATACTGTCAGATTCAGTAGAAAGTTTACTAAACTGCATTTTTAACCCACCTCTTTCTGTTAATTCTTTGCTCAGAGGGATAGTTTGCTGGGTAGGAGAAAAGAGATATGACTTAACAACTTTTCATTCCAAACCTAGTCTTCTCTTTCCACTCTAATGTTCCACCTTCCACTACTCCCCATCTCCCAACTCACAGACAGTATTGTCCTGGACAACCAATGAAATATGGGCTACTAAAGGGCCGTATGAGTTCAAGTTCCCACAGTCACACACCTCCCCCTCCCCCTTACTCCACCCCCAACTAACTCACCTCTTGTCCATGGTCTCCAAGTTTACAGTCATTTTCTGATATTGATTCTCTTGTTGTTCTTCCATGCTGGCTGAAATGAAGGCAAGCTCCCCAAACAGACTCACCAGCCAGGACAGGCGAGCAATGCTATTAAATGCAAGAAAGCCAAAGCGTTCTCTGTCCAAGGGACCACCTGTGAGAAGACCCAAAGCGTTGGCGAGCAATAGAGAACAGGATAAAAAGAACAACTAACCAGGCTGTTCCATTGCCAGGCCTCGGGGTAAAGCCGAGGAAGGAATGTTTAAGGGGCTGTGGTCTTCTCAACCCCTGGCTCACAGAATTTGCTGGATTTTTCAGGTCATTCGTTCCTCTGCTTTTCAGTTTCCTCATATGCATAGTCTCATAACCCTTGAAGGTTTACAAAGCACTTGGTATACACAATCTCATTTTGATCATCAAAACGACTCCGTGAGGTAGGCACTATTACCATCACCATTTTACAGATGAGGGAACAGGTACAAAGAGGTTAACTGCCTTGTCCAGAGTCACTCAGCTAGCAAGGGGCTGAGACACGGGGTGACCTCAGGTTTTCCTGACTCCAAATCCAGTACTCTATCAACTATGTCTCCTAATAACATGCAAAGAAGAAAAAACTCAGCATCCTCGGGGAAGGGGTGGTCTAAAGGGAGGTCCCCAGCATAATGGGTAGACTCTCTATGGATTCTTTATTCGATGACATAAGGATGTATGGACTGGACTATTGTTTGTTCTCGATGGGGGCCAATGACATCACAAGGGTGACGTCTTGACTTGCATGTGAATTGGCAGAGCTGTGAGCTGTTTGGAAGTACCCACGCTGGCGTGCTCACTAATCCACTGACCTCTAAAGCAATGTCAAACTTAAATGGAAATAATGATAGTAACTAACATGTAGGATGCCCCTACTATGTGCCAGGCATTGTGCTAAGCTCTTTAAAATTATTGTCTAATTTGATCCTCACAGCAACCCTGGGAGGTAGGGGCTATTATCATCCCCATTTTACAGATATGGAAATTGAGGCAAACAACAGTTAAGTGACTTGCCCAGGATCACACAACTAGAAAGTATCTGAGGTTAAATTTGAACTCAGGTCTTCCTAACTCCAGGCCCCTCTGTTCTACCCACTGTTTAACCTAGCTGCCAATGGAAAGGAGTGGGGAGGCACTAGACTGTACATGAGGATCCTTGCAGACCACCTATTGACTTAGAAAACCACAAGTTCATCTATTGCATTTTTATTAATTTTTTATTTAAAAATTAATTTATTGATTTTTATTAATACATAGAGATTAAAACCAGATAGGAACTATATTTTAATATAGTTCAGACAGTGGCTGCTGAATGTTTGACACCCCTGAGTAACAGCACATTGCTGACAATCACAGCCAACACTACGGGCCTTTATTAAGAGCTTATTATGTATGAAGTGCAGAAGATGCAAGGAAAGGTTAAAAAAAAAAAGATTCCTGCCCCACCCTCAAGTGGCTCACATTCTAAAGGGGACTCAGCAACCAAATAACTATGCACACACACACACGTGTGTGTGTGTGTGTGTGTGTGTGTGTGTGTGTGTGTGTGTGTGTGCACAGCATAAACAGGAGGTGATCTGAGAGGAAAGGTGCTAGCATTAAGGAGGCCCGATACAGAATACAGGATTCAGGAAGCCAGCAATCAGAGATGAAGAGGTAGTGCATGTAGGATGTGGGAGGGGCTGCAAAACCAACCCATTTGTGATGTACTTGCCTTTTGTTAATTGATTGATTCTGGCATAGTTAAAATGTTCAGTGTCCAATTTGGGTTTCATGCAAGATCCCAGTCCTTGTTTTGTGTGCCTATCTGACTGTGTTTCTCTTCATGGTTATTAACCTTATAAGAAATAAGAAGAAGGTGGCACAGTGGATAGAGCACTGGCCCTGGAGTCAGGAGGACCTGAGTTCAAATCTGACCTCAGACACATAACACTCATTTAGCTGTGTGACTCTGGGCAAGTCACTTAACCCCAATTGCCTCACAAATAAATAAATAAGAAGAAGAAAAAAGAAAAGAAACAAACCTGTAAAGTGAAGGGTTCCTTCCAACAGCTCTTTCCCACGCACTTCATTTTTCAAAAAAGCAAAGTCTTCCGTCAGGAGCTCAATGTGCTCTTCATGTAGGACTTTTCCTGTCCAGGAAACAAGAAGGGTCAAAGTGGGGGCACCCACCGCGTACTGCATCTTCTCTGGGACCGACTAGGCTTAACGGAAGGCAGCTTCACGACAGAGACAATGATCGAGAGAGACGCACAAGGGGTGGGGGAGGGGGAGTCAGGAGAAATCAGGATTTATGGCTATTGTCCAAAGGATTGGGAGGTTCCGTCATATGACAGATGGGCAAGCCAGAACGTTCATAGTGAGTAGGAAGGATGGGATGCACTGAACTCCTAAAGATAGGGGGAAATTACACCATACAAATTTCTACATTGCAGACTAGAAACTTTTCACACCATCATTGGGCTGCTTCAGGACCAAAAGGCTCAAAGGAAGTTCAGAGAGCCAACCACTTCATTTTATAGATGTGGAAACTGAGAATCAGAGTGGTTAAGTGACCTGACCAATGTCATACCACTAGCAAGTGTCAGAGGCAGGATTCAAACTCAGGTCTCCTGGCTTTCAGAACAGTGCACTCTCTACGACATCCCCCAGCTAGAGTAGTATTGATTATTTATAATTCCAACAAAACATAAAATCCAAAATGCACAAGTAATACCAAAGTAATCTCCTGGGGGTATTATATGGTGACTTAAGGTTTACAAAGTGCTTTCCTTGAAACAATCCTAGGAGGAAGGTAGGACAGATAGTATTACCTCCATTTTAGAGATGAGGAAACTGAGGCTGAGCTATTAAGTGTTGGAGCCAGGCCTCAAAACAAGATCTCCTGACTCCTAGTCTGGTCCTTTTCCCCAAGAGTTCCCAAGCTTCTGATGTTTACCTGCACAGAACCCAGACACCAGTTTTCTATATCTGGACATCTAGAATGTGCATAGTAGGAGACTTCTAAGTGCCCACTGCGCAGAGAAGATGGGAATCTTATCCTATATCCAGGTACTCCTTTCCTCTCTATAAGGAAAGACCTAAGCACTGATCTCTACACGCTGCCATTGCTGAATCCCAGGATGGTGGTAGCAAGCTGTCCCCTGAGTAAGCTGTCAGTTTCAGTCCAAAGCTAAAAGGCCACAGCTGCATTTCTTACAGCAGAGAATAAAAAGCACATCTTGGAGCCCAGTACCTTGTGACCTGCTGTCGCAACTAATTACAGAGCTCAAGGCTGACGGCTGAGAAAAGCCCCCGCTCACACTGAGCTTGAGGCTCTTAGGTTGCTCAGAGCCCTCTGGGGACCTGCTAACACAACCAGTGGAGATTGGGAAAGGTCCTCATTCCAATTTGACTTAGTTAATAGGCAGGCATGTGGATTTATACATTTAAAGTCAAAATCCTGGCTCTCAACACCTGTAACCTTAGATCTCATCTCTCTGGGCCTCAGTTTCCTCATTTGTAAAATAAGGGGGTTGGGCTAGATGGCCTTTAAGATCTCTCCAATTCTAAATGCATGTCATATTATACTTTCATGTGCAAATTACCCCCTGCTCCCACCTCCCAAACTAATCCCTGGTACACTGTGGAACAAAACCCTGTAAAACATGTCAGAGTTAAGTATGGCAAAGTAGATTTAGTGCTAAAAAGAATCATTGGCTAATAGGACCATAGGACCTTAGCGGTCATCTAGTCCAACCCCTCGTTTTACAGATGAGGAAACTGAAGCCTAGAGAAGTTAAGGGACTTCAAGGTCACATGGGTTAGAGGGGGTAGAACTAGGTCTGGAACCCACGTTCTTTAGTCAACTGCTATGCTCTTTCCACTCTATCAGACTGAGCTCAACAGCATCTTGTCCAAGGCCTCAGTTTACAGAAAAGTCCAAGATGGAGAAATGACCTGCCTGAGGCAGTTAAACCAATATGCAAACCCAAGTGAAAATCAGATTCCAATCCAGGACTCTAGTCATGACAATGCATTCAGTTTTTTAAAAACATTTTTAGAACAGGGATTCAAATGGAGACCAATTTTTTAATTATACAATATGCTCTGTATTTATATACATGGGGCCTCCACAGTACTCTAAGCACCTATTTGCTTTGGGCATTAATCACAGAAAAATCCAAAGGGGCATTTCACCTAAACACAGGCATCTGCTTGGCCATTCCCAGAAGCAGCCCCGCCAAGGAAAGGTGGCAAGGAAGTACATGCACACCCAGGCATGCACCAGACCCTCAGTGAATCTTTGTTTCCTTCACCCCTTCACAAAAGGCAAATTATTAACAACAACAACAAAAATCAGCAATATTAGGGAGGGATTCCCAAAAAAGCAAACGATTCCAAGTGGTGCTGTGTAATGAGCACAGGGTGGGGTGTCCAGGTACTTCTAGCTCCAGATTGACTGTCACTATCTAGCTGTGTGCATCCTTAGGGAAGTTACTTACCTAGCCTGTGCTTCAGTTTCCTCATCTGTCAAATGGATATAACTAATACCTTCCTAGACTCTCTTACAGGATTGTTCGTGTGAAAATCAAGTGAAAATAATAATAATAGAGGCAGCTAGGTGGCACAGTGGATAGAGCACCGGTCCTGGAGTCAGGAGGACCTCAGTTCAAATCTGGTCTCAGACTTGACACTTGACACTTACTAGCTGTGTGACCTTGGGCAAGTCACTTAACCCCAATTGCCTCCCCAAAAAATAAATAAATAAGAAGAAGAAGGAGGAGAAGGAGGAAAGGAAGGAACGAACGACTTAAGTCTTTGCTATGTGCCCAGCACTGTGCTAAGTGCTTTACAATTATCATCTCATTTGATACTCACAACAATCTTGGGAGGTAGGTGCTATTTTGATCTCCATTTTTCAGATGAGGAAACTGAGGCAAACAGAGGTTAAGTGACTTGCCCAGGATCACACAGCTAGTAAGTGTCTGAAGTTGGATTTGAACTCAAGTTTTCCTAGCTCCAGGACCACTGGAGCTGAACTACTTAAGCTGTAGTAACTAACAATGATAACACTTATTATTAGTATAGCATTTATATGGTGATTTAAGGCTTTACATATCTCATTTGATACACACAATAGCTCTGTAAGGAAGGTGCCATTCTTATCTCTTTTTTGCAGATGAGGAAATTAAGGCTTGGAGATATTAAAGTGACTTGCCCAGAGTTATTCAGATGTTTAAGCATTGGAGGCAAGATTTCAACCCAGGTCTTCCTGATTTCAGGTCCAGTGAAGACACTGTACCACCCAGCTGCCTGGGTAAACACTTACCAGCCCTTTGAAAAGTTAAAGGTATCACGCAATAGCCAGGTGTCATTCATTCCATGTCCTGACATCAGCAGACACTCAGGGGGGGCCTCAGACTCTACGCTCAGCTTGGCCCCTGGGCCATGAGAAAAGACTTCCCAAATGATGGCCTAACGCAAAGTGAGTTTATCAACCCCCAAAGAAAGACACAGGTTCAGAGAAAAACAGAATACTGAGCTGGAGAGGCCCTAAGCAGTGACTGAATCCGAGTTCTTCATTTTGTAGATGAAGAAACTAAGGCATAGCTTAATCAAGTGACACCTGAGGCCACCCAGATAATAAGTCTCAGAGCTGGGGTTTGCATTCAGATCTTTTGGTTCAAAATCCAATGCTCTAAATACCATGCTAGGACCCACAGGCAGCAACCCTCCTTAGTGCCCCAGAACCAAATAAAAATGTAATTAGGAAATATTTAACAAAATAAACAGACTTACAATAGAACATAGATCATGTTAATATGTGGTTCTCTAAGTCCAAATGCAGCCTACAGGGATCTGCATATATGGTTTAGTGGCCTCATCTCTATTTGAGTTTGATGCCATAGCTCTGTGCCTTGCTGGCTCCTTAATTTTTTTGGTATATTCTACTTACTAGGGCAGAAAAATGTACTAATACACTTTATTTTATTTTACTTACTGTTTCACTGCTTGCGCTTTTTTAAATTTTATTTTTAATTTGCAGAATAAAACAAGCACTGCTATAACTCGGTACAATGAAAAAGATGACTGCACTAACTGTACAAATACATTTTAGAGATTCTCAATGCAAAGTTGAAACTGAAAAGGCTGGGAAAACCTCTATTAGTTTCTGGGAATGTGCTGTCTATGTATACTGGGCAATGGGTGATTTAGCACAACTTTCCTTGGTAAACAATGTGAACATTAGTCATGAAACTACAAAGGCATCATGCTTTAGTATACAAACAAACAAATAACATTGTATTTGAAGTCAGAGGACCTGAGTTTTGAATCAAAGACTAGAGTCTGGCTCCTGATTCCACCTTGTACTAAGTCTATGGCTGTGGACAAGTCATTTCATCTCCCCGAGCCTCAGTTTCCTCATCTGTAAAATAAGAATAACAATACTCACACCACCTACTTCACAGGGTTGCTCCAAGGAATCAAGCAATAAAGTCACACATAACATGCAAAGGAATATATAACTATCCATCATTGTTATGGAATTAGAATAATTTCACAAGAGTATAGCTCTTGTGGATAGTAATAATGTCACTATAAAACCAACCTAAGACAGTAGGCCTCAAGACACAATTTGGAAAGGTATTTCTCCAGTCCCACAGACAGAATTTTAGCCAAAGGGTTCAGTATCCGATATATCAAGAACAGCTATCGCCTAAATGGTCAAAGGATACGAACAGGCAGTTTTCAGACAAAGAAATCAAAGCTACCTACAGTCATATGAAAAAATGCTCTAAATCACTAAATTAGAGAAATGCAAATTAAAACACCTCTGAGGTACCATCTCATGCTTATCAATTTGCTGATATGACAAAAAAGGAAAACAATGGATGTTGGAAGGGATGTAGGAAAACTGGGACACTAATGCATTGTTGATGGAGCTGTGAACTGATCCAACCATTCTGGAGAGCAATTTGGAACTGTTCCCAAAGGGTAACCAGACTGTGCATACCCTTTGATCCAGCAATGCCACTTCTAGGCCTATATACCAAAGACATAAAAAGCAGGGGAAGGACCTATCTGCACAAAAACATTTATAGCAGCTCTTATTGTGGTGGCTAAGAACTAGAAATCGAAGGGATGCCCATCAATCGGGGAATGGCTGAACAAGCTGTGGTATATGATCGTAATGGAATATTACTGTGCTGTAAGAAGTGACAAGCAAGATGATTTCAGAAAAACCTGGAAAGACTTACATGAACTGATGCAGAGTGAAGTGAACAGAACCAGGAGACATTGTACACAGTACCAGCAACACTGTACCATGAAGAACTGTGAATGACTTAGCTCTTCTCATCAATACAATGATCCAAGATAATCCCAAAGGACTAATGATGAAGCATACTATGAGCCTCCAGAGAAAGAAATCATACTATTTGAATTCAGACTGAAGCATGCTATTTTTCACTTTCTTTCTTTTTCTTTTATTCTAGTCTTCTTGTACAAAATGGCTAATATGGATTATTTACCATCGCAGGGAGGAGGGAAGGGGAATTGGAGGGACAGAATTTGGAACACAAAACTTTATTTAAAAAATGTTAAAAAATTGTTTTAACATGAAATTTGGAGGAAAACAAACTACACTAAATTAAAAAAAAAAAAAGAATAGCCATCACCTTTCTCCTCTGCTTTTTTCCATAGTTCCTGGGCTGACGCCAGAGACAAAGTCATTGGATATTCCACAAGGACGTGTTTGCCAGCATCAAGAAACTGCCTTTGGAGTAAAAGAGACAAACATGGAAATTAGACTTCAAAAAAATTCCCAAAATTCCAAACACAGACAGCAATGGCTGGCAGGCATCTTTTGTGAATGTGTGTGTGTGTGTGTGTGTGTGTGTGTGTGTCTGTGTGTGTGTGTGTAGGAGGCTACAGGAAAAAATAGAAAACAGAAGGTACAAAGAAAAGAAACAATCCCCCAAAGATCTGCCATCCTCACTACTAACAACAGTACTCAGAAGGTTCCGTTCTGATACCAATTCAATTTAATTCAATTCAATTCAATTCAATTCAAGTAGCATTTATCAAGGCCCTACTGGAGAGCCTGAGATTAGTGAAAAGAGCAAGGAACTTAAGTAAGCATCAGCTAGGCCTGGTCTGAATCTTGTCTCTTGACACCAGCTGGGTGAACATGAACAAATTACTTAACGCTTCTGACAATGTCCTTTCATATACAAAATAGGGTTAATAATACAGGGATTACCTACTACCTAGTGTGGGTATCAAATGAGATGAAGTAGGTAAAGCATTGTATAAGTGTCAACTATTCATTATAATAATGATGATATGCGGATTATTATATGCTATGTGCTAGGGGAGATACAAAGTTTAGGTATGATAGTTTCTGCCTTCCTGATGGTGCTTACAAAGTGATGTGACGTACACAGATCAAAGGAACACAGAATTTAGAACATGAAAGGCCATTACAGATAATCCAGTAGAACCCCTTCACTTTATAAAGAGGGAAACTGAGGCCCTTGGGATTAGGTGATTTATGCTAGCATAGCGCCTGGCAAACAGCACTTAATAAATGTTTATTGATTGATTCGCTTACCTAAATTCACCCACCTAATGAATGGTAGATATGGTATTTTAACCCAGGTGGTACAGTGGATAGAGTACTGGACTTGGAATCAGGAAGGTTCATCTTCATGAGTTCAAATCTGGCCTGTGACACTTACTAGTTGTGTGAGCCTGGGCAAGTCATTTAACCCTGTTTGCCTCAGTTTCTTCATCTGTAAAATGAGCTGGAGAAAGAAATGGCAATCCTCTCCAGTATCTCTGCCAAGAAAATCCCCAAATGGGGTCACCAAGAGTCGGACACAACAGAACAAGTCATTACCCCAAATGCAGGATTCTTTCAAGTATGATACATAGTAACATATGATAAGAGCAGTAGAAAAGTACAAAACCAAGCGGGTTTTAAGATCTGGGTGGCGAGGAAGGAATAATGCAGGATGGTAAAGTCTTGGAGGATCGGGAATAACGTCCTGAATGAGGTGTCATGTGAATTGGTTTTTAAAGATAGGCGAGGAATTCTGAAAGCTCTAGAGGGCAAGACCCTTCAGGCATCAATAAGAACTGGGTAGGAAGGCAGGAAAGTGGGAAGCAAGTTGAGCATTGTCTAAGGGAACAGTGTGAGACAGGCTGGAAGGTTGATATGGTGCTAGGCTATGGAGGGCCTTGAATGCCAAGAATAGGAGCTTGAACTTTACTGTGGAATCACAGAAAATTTTTGAACACAGGAATGACTTGACCGCCATTAGTCTCTTCTTCCTTCTCTACTCCACATGCCATAAGTAACATGGTCCTTGCCTGCATTTCAATTCACCTTTCAAGTGGCCTGGCGTTCAAATGAGTCGATATTCACAGCTCATTAGACGCTAGCATCTATGCAGTTCATCAGGCAAGTCCTCCTAGACACACAGGACTGCCGGCCAGAGACACGGAAACCAACCTGACATACATCTCGTGGCTAACGTTCTCGCTGCAGATGTAGGCGGCGTCAACTTCTGTGCTGGAAAGAGCATCTTGCAGAGAGATTTGCTTCGTCTCATTAATGTTACCAAGTTCTCGCCTAGGAAAGCCACAGGGAAAGAGGGAAGTGAGAATCGAAAACAGTCTGAAAAACAAACACCATCCCCTTTCCACCCACCAAGAAGTCCAGGCCACAGCATTCAGGGACAGCAGAATTCTCTCCCTTCCCCCATCACCCCCTCTCTCGTTTTCAGGTCATCTCCCACTGGGTCCATCCATCTGATGGGAACAAATGCTTGCATGGAAGCAGCTGCAGACCACAGTCCTTTGCAGTTAGCTCACGGTAGCACTATCAGGCTCATTCACCAAAGTGGAATAGAAGATTGGAGCCCCAGGGCAGACCACAACTCGGATCCCTCGGAAGCAGCTTTTTGGTTACTGATAGGAGGGATTCTGTTCACAAATTCTGCAAAGCTCAAGCACTTCTCAGAACCCAAATCACCCCCGCAAAGATGAGGATGTCACCATCGTTATTATTCTCATTCCCTTCCATTTGCACAGGGCTTTGAAGTACTCTGACAAACACCCATTTGATCCCCACAACCATCCTTTTAAATGGGCACAGCAAAGATTATTAACCCCATTCTCTGGATGAGGAAACTGAGGCCAGAGAAGTAAAATTATTTCTCTCAAGGTCACAAAGTGACAAAGTTAGGGCTAGAATTCAAGGCTCCTGTTTCCTAACTAGAACTTAGATGTCACCTACTCCCACCCTCTCATTTTACAGAGGAGGAAACTGAGGCCCACAGAGGTTAAGTGATTTGCCCGAGGTCATACAGGTGGAAAGCAGCAAAGCCAACACGTGAACCCCGTCTTCCTGACTACCAATGCAGTGCTCTTTCAACCGTGCCACACTACTTCCTGACATGTAAAGGCCCCCTCCCCCATATCCCCAGAGTTTTGCCTGATTCCACATCACTGTGATGCCACACCATGTGTGTGGCCTTCCCAAAAGGCTACAGTCAAGTGAAACCAGTTTTGTGAGACACATTTGGGGTCATCCAAAGCACTACTGACAGAGGCTGACTCCCAGCCAACATACAGGTTTTTTTAAATTTTTTTTTGTGAGGCAATTAGGATTAAGTGACTTGCCCAGGGTCACACAGTGAGTGAGTACCATGTGTCTGAGGTCGCATTTGAACTCAGGTCCTCCTGACTCCAGGGCCGATGCTCTTTCCACTGCGCCACCTAGCCGCCCCTCAACATAGAGTTTTGAGAGAATCTGTAGCAAGTGATTTTAAGAACAGCAACAATGATGTTGCAAGCCACGATAACAACTCTTAGTGTTTATATAGCACTCTAAGGTTTGCAAAGCACACTGCAGCGAGTATCTAACTTGACCTCAATAACACTTCAGGGAGGAACATACTAGATAGACATTGCTATCACCATTTTACAGATGAGAAAACTGAGGCTCAGAAAAGACAAGTAACTAGTCCATAGTCACACAACTAGTCGTTTTAAGTAGTGGGACTCCAAGTCCAGCATGCTTAGTCCCACACCACATCGATTCATTGCTAGGGTACTCACTAGGGAGCTAGAGAACAGGATGCTGGGTATGGGAGTGAATGCCTATAATCCCCCTATAATCTCCAGACAAGCTGAAGCTGGTGGACTACTGGAGCTTCCGAGTTCTAGACTGCAAGGGGCTAAGCTGATTGGGTGTCTGCCCTAAGGCTAGCATCTTCAGTATGGTGAGCCCCAAGCTGCCTAAGGAGAATGTGGTAAGAACCCAGGTCAGAAACAAAGCAGCTCAAAGCTCCCATGCTGATCAGTAGTGGGATTTGGCCAATGAGTGGTTGCTCTATTTCTAGCCTGGGTGAGACAGGGAGACCTAGTCTCCAAAAAAATAACATGCTGCTGCCCACCCACAGACTCATGCATGCCATGCCCAAGGGGCAAAAAGCAATATGGAGTCATAAAAAGAGTCAGTCAGTCAACAAGCTTTTATGTATGCACCAGGCACTGTGTTAAGGGCTATGGAAATAAAGACCAAACCCAGACACTTAAGAAGCCTATATTCTATCAGGTGCAGGAAGGATTACATATATACTTATAAATTCTTAAATAATATGTACAAAGTAACTACAAAGCATTTAGGAGGGAGGTGCTAACACCTGCAGGAGAAGGAAAGGCAGTGGGTAGAAGGGAGCATGTGTAATGAGCTTTGAGGGTCAGCTAGGTGGCGCAGTGGATAAAGCTCCAGCCTTGGAGTCAGGAGGACTTGAGTTCAAATGCAGCCTCAGACATTGACACTTACTAGCTGTGTGACCCTGGGCAAGTCACTTAACCCCGACTACCTCACTAAAAAAAAAAATAAGAGTAATGAGCTTTGAAGTAAAGTTGGGCCTTAAAAAGGTGAAGAGAAAGGGTGTTTCAGGCATGGGGGACATCTAGTGCAGAGCTGTGGTGATGGGAGATGGAGCATTGTGTGTGAGGAATAAAAAGAAAGCCAGTTTGACTGGACCAGGAGAACCTGAGGGTGACTCTGCTCCCCTGTGCATTCAGAGGAGAGGTCTTCTGAGCTAAACGTGGAGAAGAGGCCTCCATGTCACCCTCTAGAAGTGAATGGATACATCACTTTATATTAGTAAATCACTGTGCTAAGCACAGGGTACAAATAGAAAACAGAAGCGCCTCTGCTCACATTCGAAGGGGAGCTACAACATGTGTGGAAGGTTTCAGCTGAAAGTCAGATGGAAAGGTCCCGTGGTCCCTAGGATACAGAGGCAAAGCACATGGTTGTTCTTGTTCCGCTGTTTTTCAGTCATGTCTGAAACTTCGTGACCCCATTTGGGGTTTTCTTGGCAAAGATACTGAAGAAGCTTCCCATTTCCTTCTCCGGCTCATCTGACAGATGGGGAAACTGAGGCAAACAGGGTTAAGTGACTTGCCCAGGGTCACACAGCTAGGAAGTGTCTGAGGCCAGATTTGAACTCAGGAAGATAAGTCTTTGTGACTCTAGGCCTAGCACTCTATCCACGGTGCCACCTAACCACCCCTAAAACAGATGGTAATGGCTCTTATTTAATATCATTTCCACTGACAGAATCATATTAGTTTCTGATGTTAAACCATTTGATAGGATTTCTGTGGTAAGAACTTTCTTTTCTGGGTCTGCTTCACAGGGGCTGTTTCCAAGGATAATGGCTGTGGATACTGGGCTGGAAGCATTACTATTCCAAAGGCTCTTGGGTTCAGGGTCCTGGCCTGTCTCCAGCAGGGCCTGAGGGGTGGTAGTGGTGGTGATCTGACTTGCCTGGCACATGCTACCTCCTCTCTCTCCCCCAGTCACCCTGCTTGCTTGCTAACCCTTATGTGTGGCAGCTGGTGGTATGGCTTACCCCTTCTCCAAGCAAGTCTTGACTTGCTTCTCCAAACGATGGCTATGAGGGACGGACTGGAGGCAGGACTGGTGGTCTGGGGGATTCTGCCACTCCCAGGGCTCCTGTGCTTATGTACATATGGGCGACAGTTGATCGTCAATTGTCGCTAGTGGTGATGAGGAAGGGGGGGCCCTTTCTTCACAATGATTCCACTCCACAATGATGGCTACCGGGACTGGGCTAGGCTAGAAGCAGGTTTGGTAGTTCAGGAGTTCCCAGACTCTTGGGTTTAGGGTCCCATATTGTCTTCACTAACTAGGAAGGGTCAAGGGAGTGGTGGTGGTTTGACCTGTCTGGTACACGCTGCTGCCTCCTCTCTAGATCTCTCTCTGTCTCTGTCTCTGTCTGTCTGTCTGTCTGTCTCTCTCTCTCAGAAGTGTTATAGCAAACTCATTTCCTACATGCTCACGAAACTCAGAAGAGGCAAGAAAGACATGTTAGAAAGAGTATAACATCTGCAAACAAAAGACCTGGCTTTGGTCTTAACTCTAACATTAACTAGCTGAGCGACTATGGGCCAGTCATTTAACATGTCTCAAGGACTGTTTCTTCAGGAGCAAAGTGAGAATACTAACACCCTCACCAACAATTTCATTGGGCTGGCACAAGAAAAGCTTTAGAAACCTAAAAGCGCTATGCAAACATGTTATAAATATTTACACATATAATAATGCCATACAATATAAAAGCACCATACAACTGTGTTACTGATTGCATAGAGGTACGCATACATATGTGTGAGTATAGTAACAAGACTTCCAATATGAGTACTGACAGAGAATGCCAAAGGAACAAGAACACAGCTGCAGGGAAATAAAAAAAGAGGACATAAAGAAACCTTCCTTTTCGAAGCCCCGATCAAGCAGTCAAACAGTAACTATTGGACTCTTGTTGTATGACGGGTCTGGGACGTGACTTGGAAACCACTAACCTGGATACAAATCCAATCAGTTTCAGAGGGCTGGGAGGAAGCTGGGGGCTCTGCAAATCCCTAATCCGCACCGATCCAGCCCTGCCGACACCAACCACCACAACACCAAACATTCCTTGTGGCTGCAAAAGAATATGAGGAGTTTGAAAAGAATCTCAGGCATTCAAGCAGAAGCTGCAAATAATCAAACAAACAAACATGCAAAAATCAAACAAAGAAAAACCACGAGATCATAAATTTAGAGCTAGAAGGGACCTTAGAATCCATCTGGTCCAGTCCTCTTATTTTCCCTGACTGTGAAGAAACGAAGACCCAAAGGAATCTCCTGCCCTTGAACACGTGACCTCTGACTCCTGAGTCAAAGCTCTTTCTGTCGGACGATGCTGCTTTCAGGAGCTAGCCAGGTCTCTGCAACTGACGCAGACAACAGGAAGAGCAACCGAGTGCAAGGCTATTCTTGTCTCCCTGTCCCTTGGAACCTCCAACATGGATGAAGACTCTTTTGAAAGTCACAGCCCAAGCACCAAAAGTTGATTTCCTCCTTTTCCTGTCTCCCCATTCCCCTGGAAAAAAGACTTGCCCCATAGTTCTGTGAGACAACAAGCCAGGGTACCCTCAAACAGAAGGATTCCCCAATTCACCTTCGGATAATTCCACTGAAACCATCAAAAGCACCAAAGGGTTTTACTTCTTGAGACTACGACCCTTGGAGCATGGCCTGGCCCCTTCATCCTCTCCTGTACCCTTCTTCTAATATAACCCACTCATTCATAAACTGCCCAGGCAATCAACCACTAGAAGAATAAAATCTACCCTATCACAGTTTGGAGAATTTCAGAACACAAGATTACAAATAAGCTAATGATGATGATGATGATGATGATGATGATGACAATTATAGCACACCATAAGGCTCGCACTTCACCCAAATCATCTCATAAAGTTCTTTTAAGCTCTCACATCCTAGCCTCTGTTTTTAGCCTAATCACAGACTACAGCTTGGCAGGGGCTTAACACTTTAGTCTGACCTTGTCAATTCAAATTTGTTTTATCTCCACCTACATGGCCTAAACTTCTTTGTCCTGTTTCTTAGAGGTCATAAGATCACAATTATAGAGCTAGAGGGGGGTCTCAGAAGCCATCTAGTTCAATTTCTGAGGCCCAATGAGGTTAAATGACTTGCCCAATGAAAGTCAGATAAATTAATAGGCAGTGATTAGATTTGAACCCAGGTTCTCTTACTCCAGACCCAAAGTTCTTACCACATTCATGACTGACATGGACTTTATGACAGATTCAATGTTTGAGAAGAGAATTCACCTCTAAGATTTGGTTTTGTCGTTTACATGTGTCGCCAGTAGGCAAGGGTAGATGCCTTCGTCTTACTGACTTGATCCTAACCACGAATTTTCCCTGGATGAGATCCATTCTCCATCCTAGCAAATGAGTGAAAAGCTCTTAATACATTTATGAACTATCATCTTTCTATTGAACATGAAGATTTAGCTGTGTCTGGTCTCATAAGAGGAGCCATCTAGTTTCTCCTGTCCGGTAGAAAAAAACTGTGAGCCCTAATGAATCGATCAATCAATCACTAAGCCTTTATCAAGTGGTAATTATGCACTACGCACTTTGTTAAGCTCAGAGGATATAAAGAAAAATAAAAACCATCTTTGTCCTGGAGGAGCTTACATCCTAATATGCTTTCAATATTAGGTCTATACAGGCTCTAATCAAAGTAGATTCGAGGTAACCTTGGAGAGGAAGGCACCAGGAGCTGGCCACGCCCAGAAACACCCCCTGAAGAATGTGGCACTTGAGCTGAGTGGACAGAAGCGGGAGGTTCTAAGAGGGGGACATGAAGGAGGAGAGCATGCTGGGCACAGGGTACAGCCAGGACAAAGGCATGAATACAAAAGATGGACTGTCACATATGAGACTGGACGACAGAAGGAGAAACTAAGAGGAAATCGGGTATGACAAACCCTCCTACAGAAAAGTAGGTCTCTCTGGGTTTACTGTGGCTAATTCCATATAAACACTGCAAAGGGACAATGAACTTGGGGGGGGGTGTTGTGTGGGAGGGGGAGAAAAAAGTCTGAATTTCCAGTTTACTAAAGTGAATAAAAGTATAGGTTCATGCAAAATGAATGAAAGTATATTAGCAATACTATCCCCCCCCAAAAAAAAACCCTTTTAAAAATTTCTAATAATTAAGAGCTGGAAATCACAAAAACTTCTAGACTTGATGTTACATCCACTGGTGTTTTGGGTATACTTCAGTGTACAGGGCCATATAACAACAATAATAATAACAATAACTATTAGTTATTAGTTATCAAGGAGATAAGAGATCCTGGTGGGAATTTTACTTCCGTCACTTGCTAGCTGTGTGATTGTCAAGATTTTCCAAGAGCTTTACAAGTATTATCTCATTTTATCCTCCTAACAGTCCTAGAAGAGAGGTTTTATTATTATTCCCAATTTACAGATGAGGCAACTAAGGCAGACATTGTTAAGTGACTTGCTCAGGGTCACTCAACTAGTAAGTGACTGAGACCTGATTTGAACTCAGGTCTTCCCGACTCCAGATCCAGCATATCCACTGTGCCACCTAGCGATATGATCTTACTTTCATGGATCCATGATCTCATTAATGGGGCCATTCCCTCCAAATCACAACTCATCCATGTCTTTTCAAACTGGGAGACTCTTGTCCATTCCCTAAGGAGACATAGCTTTTACTATATACTGGACAATAAGGAAATCTGGATACTTTCAGTTCTCCATTTCTAAGCTATCCAATGTACTGCCTTGAGTATAGCAGTCTTGACTAAATGCCATCTCCTTTTCATGTATAGGTTTATTCATTACAAAGCACTTTTATATTTCACTTGACTGTCAAAACTGTCCTGGGAGGTAGGTCAGGCCAATAGTTAGCTTTCCCGCAACCCATTTTAACAAAGGAGAAAACTAAGACTCAGAAAGATTAAGTAATTTATCACCAAGACCAGACAGCCAGCAATTGACAGAAGTGAAATTCCAACTGGGCTCTCTTAGCTGCTTGATCACTTGAGTCCAATGATTTTTAAGAAAAAATATCTCACCAAAGAGGCATCTTGAAAACTCTAAGTGTTTACCAATAGTTCTTCTGAAAGATTCCACAGACACAAAATGTACTGATTTCTCATTTAAGAAATATACTTGACATGTATAACCTATATCAAACTGCTTGACATCATAGAGAGGGGCAAGGGAAGAGAGGAAGGGAGAGAATTTGAAACTCAAATTTTTTTAAGAATGAATGTTAAAATAGTTTTTACATGTAACTGGAAAAAATAAAGTATCATTTTTTTAAATGCTTGGAAAGGAGAACAATTTATACAATAATTCCACTACCATAAAGACAATTCTGAAAAACTCAAAACCTCTGATCAATGCAATGACCAGCCAATATCCCAGAGAACTCACGATGAAGCATACCACCTCCCTCATTCTCAGAGGATCCCTCATTTTCAGAGGAAGGTGATGCCATGACATGCATGTGAGTTGAATTTAAGTGAGGGAGGGCTGTGCAAAGTCACCAGCCTCACTTTCTCCTCTAGAGTCATCTGGGTCCAGTGGCCAGATATAGATCAGGACTGGAAATGGCCCTCTGATAGAGAGGAGATGGACTCTGGAGATAGACATATTTTTCTGGACAAGGCTGATGTAGGAATTTTGTTTTGCTTGAATAAGTATATTTATTATAAGAGTTTTGTTGATGTTGGTGTTTTTTTCCCCTTCAAAAGGTGAAGGGGCAGTAGGAAAAAAAATAATTTTGGTTCATTTAAAAAATTAAATTTATTTTTAAAATATTTGCTTGGAACTCAACTTTTCCTTTTTCCTTGAAAAAAGTTAGAACTTTGACTCCACCACTCTGTGACCTGAATCATGCCAAAAGTGAGAGATCATCTCACCTCTTCATTCTTCTTCCATTTTCTTGAGGCTTTCCCCTTTTGAATCACAGATTTTAAAGCTAAAAGAGACCTCAGATGCCATTTAATCCAACCCCCACATTTTTCAGATAAGACAACTGAGGCACAGGAAGATTAAGTAACTTGCCCAAAGTCCCCAAGGTAGCAAGGGTCAAAGGGGGTCGATGTTTCAAAGGGTCAGTGTGCCTTCTTACTACAACACACCGCCTCCAACATCAGGGATAGCATCTCCTCTTTGACGTAGCACAGGATTTCAGAATAACTGTTTGAGTTCAGACGTTACTGTTTTAGTTTTTCAAAGGAAAAAAAAAAAGCTGGATTTAAAAAACAAAACCAAACCTATCCGTTGTTTTTATTTTTGAAACATCAGCCACTCTGAAGATTGGAAAGCAGAGAATGCAAAGGTTGGCGTAACTGTGCCCTCTGCTGGTCTCCTGACCATTTACATTTCATATATTCTGAGGATAAAAAGTGCATGATGTCTTTGTTTCAGGATGGATAGCTATTTCATGAACCTAATCCAGCCTGTGGCTATAGACGTGGTCAGAGAAATAGATAAATCCCAAACGCATCATATAAGTCAAGTATCTTACTGCACTCCTACTTTTTCCCTCTTCCATCAAATCCACTTTTCTCTCTTTGGAACTAAATACTCATTTTTCTCACTACTGTGCTCTAGAGAATAACTATGTGTAGAGCTTTCCTTCATTTCAAAAGAGGCCATGGAAGTGGAAGTCCTCTGGCATGACTATTTTGTAAACAAATGGAAATCTGAGACTTGGGCAAAGATCCTGGGCCAGGAGTCAGAAAGCTTGAAACTGAGTTCCAGCTCTGAGTCAGCAGCCGGGAGGTCTTGGACAAGTCTTTTCTTTAGTTTCTCCGGGCCTCACTGTGAAATAGGCCTTACAATACCTGCATTCCTTCCCTCTCAGCATAACTGTGAGGAAGTCCTTTGTAAATCGTGAAGCCTCATGGAACTACAGTAACACAAATGTGCTGTCTTTCTTAGTCTACTAGATTGAGAACCTCTGATTTTTAAACGCTGGGTGGCTATGTGACTAAGTCACTTAATCTTCTCTGGGCTCAGTTTCCTCATATGAAAATGAGGAGATCAGACTCAATGGCTTCTATGGTCCAGCTGTAAA